TTCACAGTATCTGAGTTTAGAACACATCACTCAAGGAAAGACAAATATGGGATACAGCCAAGCAAAGACAGATAGTCTGCCTGTATAACCTATATCTCGATTGGCCAGGCTTTGGTGAATGACATTCACACCATCCAGCCCAGTGTCAATGGCATCAACGAGGTGGGCCTGTACCTAAAGAAAGAGGCTGAGCCTCCATTTGCTGTGCATATCAAGAAAGAACTGGACTTACTCAATGCCCAGTGGGAAAACATTTGCAAACAGGTGTGTAGCCTTTATCCACAGTCTGTTTCCATGCTTGGAGTCGTGTTCAGCATTAAGCACCTTTGCTGCTATGTCTTATCTGTCTAGGCCTATGCAAAGAAGTCAGCTCTCAAAGGAGGCCTTGACAAGACCATGGCTCTGAGGAAGGAGATGCAGGAGATGCAGGAGTGGATCAACCAGGCCGAGGAAGACTACCTGGAGAGAGACTTTACATATAAGACACCTGAAGACCTATGCAAGGCTGTTGAGGAGCTAAAGGTATATGTTAGTGTGAAGCAAAAACCTGATCTGCTTGCAAAGGTAAACAAATAATAAATATTGTGTGACACAGTCTGAAGAGGCCGGATGAATAACGGACTGGGTAAAAAGGGTGGACAAGAGGGTGGAAGGTTTCATGAGCCTAAATCATGCCTCACACTTATAACTTCATAATGTAGCTTTAAGGGAAAGCTCGTGGAAATGCCTAACCGCTTTAGTAACTAGGAGAAGATGTCATTCAAGCACATGTATTTACATGAGGTGAAACTAAATTTCCCAATTAAAGTCACCAATATATCATAGAAAAAAAAGAATGTATTTACTGTGTAACAATAAGCATATTTACAGTTTAGTGTAAATGAGAAAAAGAAACATATAAAATAAGATACATTAGAAAATACCCCACTGTGGGCAGTCTTCTATCCGTCAAGTTTGGGTCCTCTATAGAGCATCTTTGCTGGTCCTGTGCTTTTCTGGACAGAGAACACCAGCTAGGGCTACTCACCCGTTTCGCAGGGCGCCGAGTGCTCTGATTGCCACGGGGACCACTTTGCCTTTACCCTCCACATCTTCACTGGCTCCTCTGTCAATCCTTTGTATTTAGGTTCTCATGGTCCTCCTTCCTGATGTTGCTATCACTACAGCCTTCTCCCTCTGCTAGTCACTCTCAGTAACTCAATATATTTCATCATGGTACTGTGATACACTGTATTGCCAAAAGTATTTGTATTTGCTTATCTGCCTTCACATGCATATGACCATGAGTGACATTGCCTTCTTAGTCCATCGGGTTTAAAATGGCGTCAGCCCACCCTTTGCATCTAAGAGACCATTAACTCTTGTCGAAAGTTTTCTGGCTGCTCTCTCAGCCCTTGGTGTTTCGTGTTCTTTCTTCCTCATGTTGCTATCGCTGGTATAGCTACATATATATTCCTACAGCCGTCTTCATCTGCTTGTCCACCACTACTATATCCAGTTGGTTAGCCACAGGATATTAGTTTGGTCATTCTCAACCACCCTGGGGGACGTATCCTATTTTGGCTTTGAGACTTCGTAGCCATATTCGGCATGCGTATTTCTGTATGCTGTGTGATCCACTTGGTTACAGCGTCTTGCACCCTGCAGTTACATGCTGGATTGTCTCTGGCATCTTTGCACAGCCTGTATGTGTGAGTTTCTGTGTGTCGCCTGTGAGAGGTGTTCACGATGTATGTCAGCCACTCCAACCGTTGCTGTGCAGTCTCTTACGTCCTGGAATATTGTCGGGGCCTGCAGCTTTATGGGGGTCGCTGCTGCTGAGGTCATGCAGCAGAAGCATGGGGGTAGTTCATCTAGTATAGGGCCGGGTATAGTGAAGGGGGAGGTGTTGGAGTCCTTGAAGAAGGTATAGATGTTATTGGTGTTTGGTTTTATGGTCGGTGATGTATGTATCTTCATTACGCACCAAAGTTTTACCCATTTAACACGTAGAAAAACCGAGAAATCTTTAGATAATAAACTTATTCACAATGAGTCCGTACGTAATTTTTGTTTTAAACAAACAACTATTTATAATTTTTGTCACTAAACTTGCTTCGTTAGTCTGCACCACTTCTTCAAAAAAGGAACAATTTAAACAGAATTTGAACATTGCCAAACATGAAAAATGAAGTTCAGTCTTAGTCTTAAAAAAAGAAATCCAGAAACTTGTGAACAGAGATGAAAACTATATGATTTAGTGAGGGTTTAATACTATTCACTCGTAGTGGCTGCAGTGAGCCTGTTTTTGATTGCAGAGCTGTGGCGGGGAGTGGTCTGCGGCGTGGCTGTGGGTGAGGCGGCCGCACCTGAGTGGCATCCCTAATCACGCCTGGCCGGCTTAAAACAGAATGAACTAGGTCCTGTCGTTGTTGTTGTTGATGTGTGTGGGCTCCAGAGCTGCAGCCGCATGTGTAAGTCGACAGCCGCAATAAAGACGTGTACTGAAAAGTTCGAAAATGTGGTTCGGTCTCTCGTGCCGCAGTCGTGGGTTTCAGCACCACTGTAAACGCCTCACAACAGACACGACCACGTTTGCACTTTTCAGTACACGTCTTTACTGTGGCTGTCGACTTACGCCTGCAGCTTCTCACAGGATGCACATATTATTAAAGTAACTGCCGCAAATTTCTTTGTTCCCACGCAAAAGTAATTTCAGTGTTAAACATTAGTTCCACATGGCTTTTCTGCCAGGTAACTTGTGCCCCACCTGTCAGAACTCTCACACACTTTGAGAACCACTGCTTTAAACTGACAAAAATTGGATTTTCAGTAGTCCGGCCTACTTAAGATCAATATACAATACAATACAATTTTATTAATATAGCACGTTTAAAACCGGGGGTACACCAAAGTGCTTCACAATAAGGAATAACAGTAAATGATTACACTGAGCAGTAAGTCATTAATACAAGGTAAAATAGAGAAAATAGAGAAACAAACAAAAGCGATCACCCCTAATCTTCCGATGGTGCCTGGGCTAGAAGTAACTGACCAGAAGATCGTAAAGAACGGCTGGGAGTATAGAGACTGAGGAGGTCGGTGAGATAGTCAGGGGCAAGGTTGTTTAGGCATTTGAAAGTAAGCAGCAGAACTTTAAAATCAATACGAAATTTAATAGGCAGCCAATGTAAGTCAGAGAGCACTGGAGTAATAGAGGCAAACTTTCTAGTTCCAGTTAGGAGACGAACCGCAGCATTCTGAAGGAGCTGTAATCGTTGGAGGTGAGCAAGTTGGAGTCCAGAGTAAAGCGAGTTACAATAATCTAATCTGGAATCGCAAAGGCATGTGCCAGTTTTTTAAGATCTTTGTACGGTATTAGTGTTTGACCTTTGAAATTTGGCACAATTGGAAGATGCCAGATTTAACTACTGAGGAAACCTGTTTATCTAGCTTAAATGAACTATCCAGGCAAACACCTAGCTTACTTACAGTATCTGTAAGAAAGTAAGCAAAGGGACCAAATCGCGCAGCTAGCTGGTATTGTCGAGTGTGACTATCAAAAACCATAATCTCAGTTTTCTTCTCATTTAAAATGAGAGAATTGGCTGACAGCCACTCTGTAACATCTTTCAAGCAGTCAGACAAACGATTCAATGAAGCTGGCAGGTCATCACACTACTGGAAATAGGTTTGAATGTCGTCAGCATAACAGTCGTAGGAGATCTGATATTTGTCAAAGATAGAACCCAGGGGTAGCATGTACAAGGCAAATAGTAGAGGGCCCGGCACAGACCCCTGCGGTACTCCACAACAAAGAGGGGCAGCGGTGGACGAGTAGCAGCCCATCAGAGAAAGGTAGGTAGGATTTAAACCAATTAAGGGCAGAATCCTTGATGCCTATAACATGTTCCAGTCTCTCTAAAATAATTTTATGGTCTACCATATCAAAAGCAGCGGATAGATCCAATAAAATTAAAATGGCAGGGCAACCTAAGTCAGTAATTAAAAGAAGATCATTGAAAAACCTGCCGTTTCAGTGCTGTGGTGAGGTTTAAAACCAGACTG